AGATGCCCACGTCCCGGAACACCAACACCTTCAGCTGACGGCCCAGGTGCAGAATCAGCTGCACAGCTTTGGGGGTGAGGGGCTCCTTGTTGCTACGAGTCCTTCTTTCCAGATGTCCTATTTGTATTTGTACTATTATATCAACTACTATTTTACGATTATTTGTATTGATTATTTGTATTGATTATTTGTCTTGATTGTGTGTATTCTTCGTAGGAGAGGTGACTTCGAATGTTAAGGAGGCCTAGGGTTTAGAAAGTCGGGCGCCAGTCCTGAACCTCACACCCCTATATCAACCCTCCAAGGTCAAGAGAGCTGGGGCCCGCACCGGATTCGACTTGGTCTGCAAAAACTGCCTGCACGCGGGAGATCATGACTCATGGGTCTGGGGGGTTTAGGGCCCCACCCTAGGTTTAGGGCCCCACCCTAAACCGTAAACCCTAAAGCCCAAAACTCCAGAAACCTAAAACCCGCAACCCTTTTTGATTGCCCTGAGCCATACTACGAAGGCCCAAGAGGGCGCCCAATTCTGATCCACGCCTGCAGGGAGGGTTGGGGGGCCTTCTAGAGTCAGGGTCCCTTTTCTGAAGCCCTCTGCGTTGATCACTCCGTCCTTACATTGCAGGGTACCTGGAACAACCTACATCGACGACTGGGGCTGCAAGCTTCCGCAGTTGAAGGCCAACAAGGACGAATGAGCCCTAAACCCTCAGCCCTCAAGCCCTAAACCCAGAAAAGACAAGCCCGGAGGCCCTTCTTTCATGAGCCACAAAAATCTGCACTTTGACTTGCGGGTTAGGGGGGAAAATCTCTGGTTTCGGGTTTTGGGTGCAAGACTTCGGAACGGAGGGCTCCGTTAATGCAACTAGGCGCTGTATCGGGTACATCCCACCCGTACTTCGAGCCTTGCGCGGGGTGCGCCCTCATCAGAGCCTCATGGCTTCTCTGTAGGGTTTCGGGCTTGAAGGGCACTTGGATGAGGGGTCTGGGGCGGGAGGAGGTTCGAGTTCGTTGCCCCAAACGTAAGCCCGAAGGGCCATCACTCTGGGCATCATTGGGGTACTTGCTAATGTGAACTGCTTGCTCTTTCCTGTAGGTCGCTTTGGTGCTCAGCACATGGCGCTGAAGCCTAAACTTTCCTACGAATTATTCCAGCCAACACTAAGTTTCTAGGTCACATCCCTAGCCTTGGAGCCCAGTTGAGAGCGCAGAGAGCATCTGGGGCCCTTGGCTGCTCTCTTCCTCCGTCGTGCTGCCGCTCTCAGAGGAACCTCCCGTCACAAGGGATGTCATGGTTGTGCAGCCACTGGAAGCCTACACCTTGGGAACTTCCCCCTCTCATACTAGCAGTCCTTACTAGGGATAATAGTACCCCCTATGATAATCCCTTTTAAGGACTGTGAGTATAACGGGGAACATCCCAAGGAAAGGTCCCAAGCCCCAAAGCACAACACCAGTACTAGCTCGCTAGCCTGGACAGAAGCTCCCTTGCATCTTCATGGGCGTCACCCGACTTGATGACACCAGCACTGTGTGCTAAACTCCATCCTTACATCCCGTCTTGCAACACAAGTTGAGCAACTTGAGCCAACACACCTATCCAGCAAAATGTTGAAAGCATTTCTTTGCAGGGTGCCAGATAGAAGATGATGCTTGGCGGCAGGCCCTGAACGTTGAACAACTCCGAGAAACCCTCCAAAACCCAGTGAGCCCTACACTGTAACCCTCATTTCTAGACACCGAAACCCTACAACTTGGAAGCCCTAACTACATTCCCCTTAGAACCGTTATAAAAAAAGTAATATTTTCAATATCCCCTTGGCTTCTGTATAAATAGAAATTATGAAATATTCCTAAGGGGGTTATAGCTAAACCATAAACCTTGAAGAGACCGGCAGAAGGCCAGAGGCTTTCCCGGCTACTAGCCCTAAACCCTGAACCCTGAACCCTAAACCCTGAACCCTAAACCCTAAACCCTGAACCCTAAACCCTGAACCCTGAACCCTAAACCCTGAACCCTAACCTCTACACCCTGAACCCTAAACCCTGAACCCTAAACCCTAAACCCTGAACCCTAAACCCTGAACCCTAAACCCTAAACCCTGAACCCTAAACCCTAAACCCTGAACCCTAAACCCTGAACCCTAAACCCTAAACCCTGAACCCTAAACCCTGAACCCAGAAGAGGTGGGCAGGAGGCCTTCCCGGCTACTAGCCCAGGCCGCGCTCTCAGCCGAGCTTTCATCGCCCTCCGAGCCTTGGCACATCCACGGCGTGCAGGGTTTAGGGTCCGCCCCCTGCTGAGCCTTTAGGGTTTGGGGTTTAGGGTTTAGGGTTTAGGGCTTTGGGATTTAGGGTTTAGGGCTTTGGGAACTTTGGGGTCTCTAGGTATATACAAAATGTCGTATGGACGCTTGACGAGAAGGCATAAAGTACTTGTGAATTACAAGGCCGGCAGCATCAATGAGAGCCTGTGCTCACTTTCGGAGTTTGTTACTACGGCCAGAAGAGTACCTCCGAAGGTCCCAGGTTCTCCAAGCAGAGATCTGGGACCAAAGCCAATGATGTCATGAAGGGAGAGCGGTCTTGGGGTTTATCTTTGTGTTGTGGTTCAGGGTTTGACTTCGGCTACAAGACCTGGGCAGACCCGCTCACATGAAAAGCATGCCATGGTGCGGATGTCCTTGTTGGGGTTCGTTTATGATCATGTTCTCAAACAACTTCCCAATACGATCAAGCCTGGCTGGCCATTCCGCCGACCCCGTTAACAAAGCCTCCCTCAAAAGGTCCGAAGGCTGCATCCTGCAACTGGAGTGAGGAATCGAACATGGCTTGCCCAAGCTGAGTTGCGCCCAGGCCCCAGAGAATAGGCACTCAGCGTCACGCCTGGCTGCTCTTGCTCCTCAGGGGCCTGTCAGAATGCTCAGGAGAATCTGGGCACATGATCACAGACTTGACCTGACTAGAACGGGTCTCGACCGCATCTCCGTAAAACTGACGATGTCTCCGGTCTTCAGGGCAACGATGATGTCATCCTTGCTGTCTCTGCAGTCTGAGTGCTGGATGCCAGACAGCGTACGCAGAGACGGTGAGAATCGGATCTACTCTCCTCTGACGTGTGTTTGTGTGCGCCCCAAGCGCTGCAACGTACATGTCCGGATGCGTCTTTTGGTAGAATCCAACCTCCGGTGGGCCCTGCCAAGCTCAGCATGTTGCACGTGGTTCTGATGCGTTCGATCGGTGGGGAGAGGGGAGGGAACTTCGAAGTCAGGTGCGGTGACTGGTCTGAGATGTACGAACCCTCGGCCCTGAACCATGATATTCGGGCAGTTCTCAAAGCTACGCTTGGTTTTCGGGCCCCTGTAGCGAAGACCATCACATAGCCTAATATATGGCCACTTCAGTTTAGGGTGGCGCCTCTCCCCGCTGCCACGTGGGCTGCTCATGCAGAAACACCTGAAGGTTTAGCGTTTAGTCCGGGTTTAGGGTTTAGGGTTTTCTAGCGCAGATCGAACTGGGCCGAAGGAAAGGCGGGGTTGCAGGGTGGGTCACCAAAACAGGGGTACCCTTGCTGGTTCTGAGAATAAGGGTTTTGCTATTTGGGCATTCGAATTTTGTTTTGTTTGGAATTTGTTTGTATTTATTTAATTTATTGCTTTTTTTTTTTTTTTTGGGGGGGGGGGGGGGGGGGGGGGGGGGGCGGGGGGGCTCCTGTTTGGGGAGTTGGTTGCCGTGTGGCAAGAAACCCAAAGGCAAGAGTCCTTCGAGCCTTAGGGAAAGAGTTCCACCCCACCTAGTTGCCACACATTACCTGCCCATGCCTCACAAGTCACCCTAGACCCTGAAACCTAATTAAGCACACGTGGCTCTCTTGTGCAGAAACTTTGCTGAGGCTCAGACACAATGTTTCACCCTGCACTGGCTTCCCCAGCGGCATGGGGTTCTCCTCTCCCAGGTTCCCCGGGCAAATGAGGCAATCCAACCTCTTCCTAAGCTAGTCAACTTCACCACAGGTGTACGCAAAGGAACTTCACCAACAGTGTACACACTGGATTGTAGCACGATATTTGGGATGCGCGGGGCCTGAGCAACTCAGTGATCTCTGCCAGCTGCCTGCAACCAACAGCCCTACACTCTACTCTACTAGTGCCACAAAGAAAGTACAGTGGAGTGGGTGGGTGCGACAGCCAGCCTGAAGCTGTTTTGGGTTGAGGGTGCCAAGTGGCAGTGCGGCATAATGCCGGATGGACACTGACACAACGGACGAGGCGACACTGAGCCGAGAACTTGCTACTGCTGACTACACGGAACAGCCCCAGCCGCGCAGCAGAATGATATATATATATATACAACAAGGTTCTCTCGTCACAGCTACGATGAAGTTAGTTGCTTAAGCATGACAGACCCTGCCTCTCGGGCGGATGGTGCCTGCAAACCGCTTTCATGCTTAATGAAGTGACATGGTAAGCTCCAGCCTTTGACAGCAGCATTGCGTACTTGGGATAAGTAGAGAAGTAGAGGCAGAGCACGAGTCGTGAGGCATGAGAGACCTATGCCAATTCTCCCTACACACGCTGTCCGGTGTGCCTTCTGCACTGGTCTTCCCATTTGCAACAGCCACGGATGAAATTGTAGCCTCAGGATCAGGATGGTGGATGCTGGTGGGCCAAGCTGCATGTATTTGGTAGTAGAAGCAGTTCTCTTGCCTTTCAAGGCTCGCCACTTGAGAATTTGAGGCTTCGGCAGAAGGGCTTTCTCGTTGGAGGCAAAAACGCCTGCCGCATGCAACAGGCGCGCATGATGCAGTTTTGAGGCCAAGTTCTATATAGGGCATCGCGTTTCCAGAAATCATATTTCGGTTGATCTGCAGGCAGCATGCAAGTGGTCCTTGCTCGTGAGGCTAAGCATGGTGTGTGCATGTAGACCACGGACCGGAATTCGATGCAGTGCAACAGCCGGCTTTTGTACTCCTCCAGCATCGCTCTAAGCCTCGGTGGCCGTCATTGAACGAGGAAGTGGAGAACCTCCAGTTCACGGGCGCACATGCGTCCTATGCTGGGAAAGCAGAGATTGTCAGCCATCACCGGTCGAAGACAGAGTCTGTGTCCAGTACTCGCGGATTTAGAGCCTGCGTCAAACCCCTGAAGCCTCTGGCAAAACCTAGCAGGAAGTACCCCTAAACCCTAAACCCTAAACCCTAAAGCCTAAAGCCTAAAGCCTAAAGCCTAAAGCCTAAAGCCTAAAGCCTAAACCCTAAACCCTAGACCCTAAACCCTAAACCCTAAACCCTAAACCCCCCCCCCCCCCCCCCTCCTGCAGATAGCTGCCCTCGGGGAAGCCGCGCCGAGTCGGGTGGTCCGAGCCAGCCGAGCCCTCCTCCTGGCTTCAGGAAGTCTACTTGGGGGTTCACGGGTAGCTATAGGTTTAGGGTTTAGGGCTTCAGGGCTTCAGGGCTTCAGGGTTTCAGGGTTTCAGGGTTTCAGGGTTTCAGGGTTTCAGGGTTTCAGGGTTTCAGGGTTTCAGGGTTCAGGGTGTAGGTTTAGGGTTTGGGGTATAGGGATACTTGGAGGTTCATGGGTAGTTATAATAAGTAGGGCTCTCAGAACCTGAATTAAGGTCATAATACAGGTTTATAACCCTGCATATAACTACCCATAAACCTTCAAGTAGGGAAGCTGGGCCCATGCAGGGGACAAGCACAGAGATTAGTATGCTTTGCAGTTGGGGTGTTGCGCATGCCACACATGCGGAGACTCAACTTGTGGAGATTCAACCTTGTCCCTTGAGCCCGCAGCCACAAAAAACTTCAGTGAAACGAGCCCAGTAACCACAATTTTCAAACAAGGGTTTCCTTGTTTAGTTGCTTACTTCCCAACAGCACATACTGTTGGGTTTCAGTTTGTAAAGATTAGGTCTGAATGACCGAAACTCATCCTCTGCAGTTAGGTCTTTGAATGAAGGCACTTAAAGAAAGGGTTCCTCGCCCGAGGTGCACCGTGGGGCTTCCTAAAATCATGGTGCAGATGCTCCTCAAGAGCTGCGCTGCGCCCTGAACGCAGGGCCGCCTCCTTGCCAACATGGCAGGATGGGACTGGGATCCGCATCTTCGCATCAGCATTAAAACTGGAGGAAAACTGAGGTAGCTTGATGCGGGCTGATGTCGGACGTCATCCTCTGAAAGGAAGGCTGTCAGGCACCTATGGCTATCGCGCCCGAGAATTTCGGCACTTCTGGACCCGTGTTCGTTCCGTAAAGCCTATAAGCAAACTGTCAGCGCATCCAGCCTGAACTGCCTTCAGCAAATCCTTTCGCGTAATGTGGGAGCCTCGTGATGCAGAGGGAGGCGGAGAGAGAGAGAGAGAGAGCGAGAGACGCCACACACACACACACACACACAGACACGCGCATGCTTCTATTCGGCCATGATTGTATGCCCAAGTATAAGCCCTCCAGCCAAAGCCCTAAACCCTCACAGAGCTCGGCCCTGCACTGCACGAGCAGCTGATGAGCCGGCCGCCTCAAGTGCAGAAGCCGGAGGGCCGGATCAAGGGTTCTCAAAAGGAGCAAGATGAACAATGTTTAGCTAGGGTACTGAAATTGAGGGTTTAGGGTTTAGGGTTTAGGGTTTAGGGTTTAGGGTTTAGGGTTTAGGGTTTAGGGTTTAGGGAGGGTACTGAAATACTACTGAGCTTGGTGGGGGAGGGTTTAGGTTTGGGGTTCTGGGTGTCGGGTTAGGCTTTGGGGGGACGTCCTGTCAAAATGACAGGTGTATGCCATAATGGAGACCCCCCAAAATGATGAAGGTTTATACCTGTCCGTACAACCGGAACTACCAACTTCGCGCACTTTTCACAAAATCAGATCGCAAACCACGGTATTTCTCGCCCGACATGGGAGTGTCAGAAAGTCTACATCCCCCTTCTACCCCCCAACTACAACAACGTCCCCCTGCAAAGGGACATCCCAAAAAGGCGTCAGCCTTGAACAGGACCCCGAATCTACTCATTGCTTAACTGAAGAACCCGAAAAAATGGAAACATGTTCTTCCTTATTTTAAGGTCAGTTTAGGGATTATTACTTGTTATTCTTTTGGGGTTCTTAAAAGCAAATGGTATCCCTAAACCCTAAACCCTTAAACAGGACCCCGAATTTTCCAGCCCCCAGACATGCCGAGCCCCCGGACCCTTTCGCAGGACGCGCAGCGCGCCGGAGTTGAGGGAGCCGTAGGCTTTGAGCGCCTGGCTGGAGTGTAATGTTTGGACCTCCCTAAACCCTAAACCCTAAACCCCAAACCCCAAACCCCAAACCCTAAACCCTAAACCCTATAAACCCTAAACCCTAACCCTAAACCCCCTGCTTTAGCAGGGGCCCCCCTGAATTAAGTCGTGTTGGCCGGGCTATTCAGGACTGTTTGAGGGTGCGCGGTGGGATCCTCTATTAGGAGAAATAGTCCGGGTGTCGGAAAATTTCCGTGCAGCGCGCCTTTAAAATCAATTGCCGGGCATCGCTGTCCATCTTAAACTCGTCTAATCTCCTCCCTTTGAAAATCATATAAACCCCGTGGACCGTGTAAAGAAAGCCAAAACCAGCTTCGACTGTTTCACGGAAACAGGGGGGGGGGACACACCAAAGCAGGTTCAAAATTGGGGTTTACGGCATCTAGGGGTTTAGGTTTTAGGTCTTAGAACAAGCCCAAGTCTCGTAGCCGTGGTGTAGCGCGGACAATTCTAAGCCTGAACCCTAAACCCTATAAACCCCAAAAATCTAAACCCCAAACCCTATAAACCCTAACCCCAAAAACCCTAAACCCTAAACCCTATAAACCTAAAGTATAAACCCCACTAACCCAAAACCCAAAACCCACCTCCCTTCGAACTCGCCTGAGGTCTTGCACTGGCACGCGGGGCCATGGAAGGAGGATCGCAAACGACCTTGCAGTCACTGGAACGCTGCTGTGAATTTCGGGCCGTTTAGGGCCACCCTAAGTCTTTTGAGGGTTTAAGTATTAGAGTTCATGGGGTTCCGAACGACCGTGGGCTCTTTGGGTTTAGGGTTTAGGGTTTAGGGTTTAGGGTTTAGGGTAATCTGGCTGCAACCCTATAAACACTCAACTATTAACCTACAAGCTGGGCTTCCAGTGTATCCGCAAGCGGCTGCAGCTGCAGCCTTCGCATGCCAAGAGGCACCAATCAACAATCAGCCCTACCGTACATTCACACACCCTAAAGGAAGGCTTCCGGGCTTTAAAAAGAGGCAGGCTAAGCGCCCAGGCGATATCGAAAGCCTCTTTGGCTTTCGCAGCATCCCGGAGAAACTCCCAGCAATCTGCCAGGTGGATCCTTACTGGCCGGGGGGTTGGGGCTTAGGGTTTAATTAGGGTTTGGGGTTTAGGGTTCCGGGACTACACTGGCCATCACTTTGGCAATTTCAGGGGCTTAGGTGCCCTAAACCCTAAACCCTAAACCCTAAACCCTAAACCCTAAACCCTAAACCCTAAGCCCTAAACCCTAAACCCTAAACCCTAAACCCTAAACCCTAAACCCTAAACCCTAAGGGTTTTTTGGGCTTGGGCCCCGCCACTCGCGTGTCGTGGGTGTCAGAGGCTGCATGTCAAGTTCCCGCCGAAGCTGACGAGACCCGGCGAGTTACCTAGGAATAAAATGGGTACCCTTTTTGGTTTTAAGGGGATTATAAGGAAACCCCAACCCTCAAAAAAGGAAAAAAGGGCCTGCTCCCGGTCCTAGTGCCAGTCCCGATCTCAGACAGGTAAGGGGATGACATTGATACTCATTTAGACTCCAGAACCCCTACCAATAAGCAAACCAAAGCTCTAAAGCCTGCACGCCCTAAGTGTGCAGGAATATTTCCAAAAAATAGTCATACTCCTCATAAACCCGAAAAGTATAAAGAATCCCTTTTTATGAGAGCCCCCGCAAGATTTAGGGTTTAGGGATTTAGGCTTTAGGGTTAAATCGGCCATTGCCCAAACTTGGGAGACCCTAAACCCTAAACCCTAAACCCTAAATCCTAAATCCTAAACCCTAAACCCTAAACCCTAAGACCCCTATGGAAAGACTGAGCTTCGGGCACATGGGCCATGCCGGAGCTCAAGTGGCTCTGGCTTGGGTCGGTACAGACCTCCCGCGTCATGCAGGCTAAGAATCTTACTTAGGGTTTAGGGTTTAGGGTTTAGGGTTTAGGGTTTAGGGTTTAGGGTTTAGGGTTTAGGGTTTAGGGTTTAGGGTTTAGTAATTTAGGGTTCAGGATTTACAGTAGACTTCAATCTTTAGGGGGCTCATGGCTTTCTGGATAGAAGGGACTGGCAGGCCGCGCAGAAGCACTGAGCACGTCAATCCAGCGCAGCCTCTCATGTTGCAAGATCGCCCCATGTGGTGAGAGGATCAGCTGCCTCCCTTCCCTCCCGGGGCCTCCGCATCAAGTCCGTTCAAGCGGAAGTTCCGCTGGCAAGCCTGGCAGGCTCGCATTCGACGTGGAAGCATGAAATAGGATTCGGTTCTTCAGTGTTCGGCTTTTAGGCAAGCTTGCCGCGCCTGTCCTCAGTGTCGTAGCGTATTGTTCCGTGAGCTTAGAATGTCCCAGAACACTGATATGCGGCGCATTGACAGTTTGCGGCCAGTGGAAATATTGTGCACGGGCACGAGAGACTCAGGTGAAGAGAGAACCTCTCAAATTCTTCATCAAGACGGAATGTTTGATTGCATGACTACCTCTCAAATTCTTCATCAACATGGAATGTTTGATTTTGCATGACTACCGCAAACCCACAAAACCTGACCTCAAGAAAGGCTTCTTCAAGCCCCCTCCACGACAGCCCGCGTGGTAAAACATCTCAAGAACAGTCGTGCACGATGCGCGCTCCATCGCCCGTAAAAACAAGACTCCTCAAAGCTTTCACAGCACTCTACGGCGAACTCCAAACCCAATTCCCTAGAATGCTAACATGCCTCCCCCCCCTAAACCCCCGCAACCTAAACCCTGAAGCCTAAACCCTAAACCCCAAACACTCAAAATCCTTTTCAAATGACCTTCGAGGCCTCCACCGCCTTCCTGGCAGCATCCACGGCCACGCAGCGCTGGGCGCCTGGGTGAGCTTGGGGTTCTGGGGCTCAGCTCCCACCCATCCCCAAAGGAGCACCTGCCACAGAGGAATATGAGGGAATATTCAAAAGGGAGATTGAATCAAGTCAGCTGCATGATTCGCACGGCGTCAGGAAACGCTGGCACGTACTCTATTCTCAACTCAAAGCAGAGCTGCAGCATGTTGGTGCGCCCCATAACTCCCATAAAACCCATAAACCCTGTAAATCCTATAAACCGAAACAACCCTGCAAACCCCACATGCCCTATAAACCCTCTAAACACCCGAAGCCCCAAACCCGGGCTCTCAGTGCTTGGAGGTTCATTGTACTTATTAAGCAAATATAGCTGTACTTATAACTGTACTTATAATCATATATGGGCACTTAGGGGGCTTATAAGTGGGCTTATAAGTGGGCTACAAGTACAGTTATAATTGGTTAATAAGTACCGTGAACCTCCAAGTGGCACCCATGGTGCGAGCCAGGGCGCCACCAAGTGCCGCCGCCACTGCGAAGCCGCCTGTATAGCCTTGGAGGGATCAGGGCTTTGGTTCAGGGTTTTGGGTTTAGGGTTGTGGGGTTTTGCTTGGGCTTTCATGGTTACAGAGTTGCAAGCAGGCGCATAAGTGCTACCTTGACTAAGGTTATGATACAGGCAAACGTGAACCTTCAAGTAGGTTCCTGTGTCGTCGCCAAACTTTGCGGCGCTGGCTGAAGAAGCGACTGTGCGGTAGGTGGGGACCAGCCTCTGGTTTCAGCCAAGAGGCTGAATAAATCCAGCACATCCTGTTTTGGAACAGTGGCTAGGAGATTTCTGGTTCGTGAGGGTTAGAGGGCCTGAGGCTCAGGATTTGTTCGAAGGTTTTGAAGTTGCATGGACATGAAGGCCCATCGTTCGCAGAAGCTGTCTTCTTCACAGCCTCCGGAAACCCAAATTGGGTGTTCAAGGTACGTTTGATATTGAGATTCCTTGCAGAATAATCAGGGACCCTGATTTAGAACACTTGCCCCCCTCCCTCCCCGCGTTCAGGTCATCATTTCACGCAACTGGCTTCATAGGTAGTGAAACAGTGGCCCTCCCTTTCCTCACACGGCTTGTTCTTGGCTCATCTGTCGAGTGTGGCGCCATATGAGTGGAGAGCCATGAGTGCAAGAACGGACACAAGGATGATGGTCGTAGAGCTACCCCAGAGTTCAACAAACAGGTCGAGCCTTGAGTTGCATATCCCCAAACCCTAAACCCTAAACCCTAAACCCTAAACCCTAAACCCTAAACCCGGGACATTTTCAGAATAGACAACCCGTCCTTCCCGGCTGCCAGCTCTCTTAAGCGCAGCCTCGGCATTTCAGCGTGGTCTCAGGCTCAGGGTTCTCGTGCTTCGGACTTCTTGGGAACTGGCTTAGGGCTTGCATCTAGGATTTCAGGTTTGATGGGAAGGTTCTTGACTTTAGGGTACATGGTGTCATGGTGTCGCAGGCTATGCCCTGAGCAGAGCGCAGGAGCCCGGAAGTCGGAACCCTGAACTCTGAACCCTGGATACCCGCAACCCTAGACCCTGAGTCCGGAACTCTAAACCCTAAACCCTGAACCCTAAACCCTGAACCCTGAACCCTGAACCCTGAACCCTAAACCCTAACTCCTAAACCCTAAACCCAAAAACCTTAAATCCTGAAACTCCCAAAGCCGATCTTGGGAGCCAGGGAGCCGATTGGGCCGCTGGTCCAGGAAGAAGCCCGTCTTGTGGCCGTGCCAGACGTCCACCTCTTGCGTTTCTTGTAGGGCCTGTAGGTTTTAGGGTTTAGGGTTAGGGTTTAGGGTTTAGGGTTTAGGGTTTAGGGTTTAGGGTTTAGGGTTTAGGGTTTAGGGTTTAGGGTTTAGGGTTTAGGGTTTAGGGTTTAGGGTTTAGGGTTTAGGGTTTAGGGTTTAGGGGGGGGGGGGGGGCTTAGGGTACTTGAAGGTTCATGGGTAGGTACAAGTAGGGTTCTAAGCAAGGAAGGTAACTTACGTTCTAGCCTTGCTTGCGGTACTTACAGGCCTGTATATAAGTTATGACTACGGTTGAAGGTTTAGAGGTTACCTAGTTTAAAGGTTACCTACTCAGCTACCAAGATCAGGGCTTTAGAATTTCGGGCTTGGGGGATGCTTAGGGTGCGGAGGCCCCTGGGATGAAAGAGAGCTGGCGGCTTAAGACTCGTCATCTTCGGCAACCTGCAGAATGACTCTGAGCTTAGGGCTTAGGGTTGCGGGTTCAGGGCTTTAGAGGTTTAGGGGTTAGGGTTTACGGGTTAGGGTTCAGGGGTTAGGGGTTCAGGGTTTTAATTAGGGGAAATTTCACACCCAAAGCCACCACTCCCTGCGGCATGTGGCCTCGTACAAGACGCCGTTCTCCTCAAAGCAGGAGGCCTCCTTCGTGGGCGAGGTTCCCCAGAGTGTCTCGGTGCCATCTTTGTTGATCCTTTGTAGTGGGAGGATGCTGTGCAAAACAACGATCCCTGAACTCTGCTAGGGAGACATACAGGCAGGATGCTAGCGCGATCAAGAGGAATGCAAAAGAGCTGCTGAAATCATCCAAAGAGCACGCCGGAGAGCTTGTATCCTGACTCATGGCCCATGCGAGACTCGTGTCAAACTGAGGGTTTAGGGTTTAGGGTTTAGGGTTTAGGGTCTAGGGTTTAGGGGGCAGCCTTTAACCATGGCACCCCTGAGCAAAAACGACCCCTCCAATGTGGAGGAGTAATGAAATCCTCTTGAACCCAACAAGGGAAAACAGAAAACTGTCCCAAAAGCCTGCCTAGTAGTAGAGAGTACTGTTAACTACCCATGAACCTTCAAAGTAGGGTTTGTAGGGCTATTGTAGAAGGGGAAAGCCCTGAAGAGGGGTTCGAATTCAGAGTAGCCCCCTGAACGTGCAACTCAGGCTCCAGCACCGGCAAATGCTTCGACAATGCTGGAGAGCCTCTCCGCAGAATACTTAGGGCCAGGGTTTAGGATTTGGAGGTTTGGGCTGTTTTGGGTTTTGCGTTTTCTACAGTTTTCGGAGGGACCTTTGGCCCAAAATGGTGGGTGCCTTCCAAGATTGCGTCAGCTTTCGTGGATGATCTGGTGATGCCGGCAAAGAACGTACACACGTACACACACACACACATACACTCTCTCTCTCACACACACTGTGCATCCCTTCCTTGCAGTAGCGCCACTATGGCACCGACGCCCCATCCCAACAGCAAGCTCATGCAGAAACAAACTGCAGTGAGTGCGCAACAACGTCTCGAAATTCTCCAGAATCCCTGAACCCTAAGCCCTAAACCCTCCACCCTAAACCCTAAACCCTAAACCCTAAACCCTAAACCCTAAACCTATACCCCATACCCTATAGGCCCTAAGCCCACCTGGGCCGCCAAAAGGCGTCCGCCCCGGCGCCGTCGAAGGCCGCCACGCCGCAGTCGCCGTAGGCGTCCAAAACAAGGCCCGGGGTCCAATCCGCCTCCTCTGCCGCTCGAGGGGTGTTTAGGGTTTAGGGTTTAGGGTTTAGGGTGTAGGGTGTAGGGTTTAGGGTTTAGGGTTTAGGGTTTAGGGTTTAGGGTCTAGGGCCGTTTAGGGTTTAGGGTTTGGGGTTAGGGTGTTTAGGGTGTGTAGGGTTGCGGGTTTTGGGTTGAAGGTTTTTAGGGTTCGGGGCTGTTACCTGTTCCCATGATACTTGAAGGTTCATGGGTAGCTATATACTGGGTAAAAGTGACCTTCCTTACTTGTAGCCAACCTTATAACTACCCATGAACCTGCAAGAAATGTGGTAGAAGTAGCACATGGGTGGGGAATGTTCCAGATACTTCAGAGTACAGGCATTTCAGATTAGGTAGGGGGAGGGGAGTCCTTCTAGTATCAAACGGTGTTGAGCTTGTGATTCTAAGACTTTACAAGGGCGATGAGGCATGAACCTAGATGAACTCAACGTCGGGCTAAGCTGCTCAAGCGCCCGCTCATCCGATACTGGAGCCACCGACTCCCAATCACGCCTAATGAAGCTCACCAGCCCTAAATCCCCTGAAGCTCCTAAAGCCCCTAAATATATTGCTCGAAGCCCCTAAACCCTATGAGCTCTAAACCCCCTGAAGCTCCTAGAGTCCCTATGTGTTGCCTAAACCCCTCAACCCTATGAACCCTATACCCTATGAACCCTAAAGCCCCTAACCCTAAAGCCTAAACCCTAAACCCTAAACCCTGTGAACCCTAAAGCCCCCTAACCCTAAATCCTAAACTCTAAACCCTGTGAACCCGAAAGCCCCTAACCCTAAACCCTAACCCCCTATGAACCCTATGAACCCTCAAGAGCCCCTAGCCCCAGAGCCCCGAAACCCTAAACCCTAAACCCTAAACCCTAAACCCTAAACCCTAAACCCTAAACCCCAAACCCTAACCCCCTATGAATCCTCAAGAGCCCGAGGCTCCCCGTGCAGCAGCCGCATACCGGTGGAGTGCCGCAGCGAGGGCTCCGCCTGGCGCCGCTTGGCGGCCCTTTGGGCCACGCCGGCCGCCCAGGAGGGATCGCCTGCTTAGGGTTTAGGGTTTAGGGTTCAGGGTTCAGGGTTTAGGGTTTAGGGTTTAGGGTTTAGGGTTTAGGGTTTAGGGTTTAGGGTTAAGGGTTAAGGGTTTAGGGTTTAGGGTTTAGGGTTTAGGGTTTAGGGTTTAGGGTCCAGGGTCTAGGGTCTAGGGTTTTAGGTTTAAAGGTCTAGGGTTGTGATGTTCCCCCTTATACTAGCCGTCCTTAATAGGGATTATAGTACCCCCTATTATAATCCCCATTAAGGACTGTTAGCGTAAGGGAGAACATCCCAAGTTTAGGATTTAGGCTTTAGGAACTTTAGGGTTAAGGGTTCAGGGTGTAGGGTTTAAGGGTCTAGCCTTCTTTCGCTTCGCAAACTTGGGGTTCCTTTAGGCCCTCAAAATTTGAGGGCCTGAATGACACGCTGGTCCCCTTCTTCGTGTGACCCTGAGAAAGGGCCCGTCTCATCAGGCTTCGGGCTGTCTGGGGATCGGTCGCCCCCCCCAACCCCCATCATATAGGGGACTGAACAATTAGAAAAGGGTTTTGGGGGGTTTTTGTAATACAATTACACAGGGACCATAAGGGAATATGATTAGTAATTATTCCAACCCCTATATTACCTGCTGCAGAAGGGTCTAGGGGGGGGGTACCGATATGGAGACCTTAAGCGGTGCTTAGCGGCTAAGATTTGCGACGAGAGCTGAGGAGAACTTAGGTTGAAGTTGTTGCGCGAACACATGATACACATGCTCAGGCCACAGTGCAACTCAATGGGACTTAACCTGGTGGGCTGCCACAAGTACCCTTAAATTGGAGCTACTGTAGGGCCAGGGAAACGGATGGGAGGAGCCTTCTCACATATTTGGGCAAGGATGAAAGCCTGCATGGAAGCTGCGCAGGTTCCAGACGAAGCTCCTCCCTACTTGGATGAAGCACGTCAGTTGCAAGTGGAGCTCCCCCCGCAAATCCAGCCGAAACAGCACCAGAGCCCCAAAGCCCCCCCAATCCCCGAGACACCCCAAAAAATCCTGAAACTGAAAACCCTAAACTCCAAACCCCAAGATTCTTCTGCAAGTGCCCATCAGCCACGCCTGGCACGGGCTGGCCATCCTCAGGCCACCAGAGAAGGCGGACCTCGCCAGCCAGGTTCAGGTGTTAGGGTGTTAGGGTGTTAGGGTGTGGGGTTTAGGGTGTAGGGTTTAGGGTTTAGGGTTTAGGGTTTAGGGTTTAGGGTTTAGCGTTTAGGGTTTAGGGTTTAGAGTTTAGAGTTTAGAGTTTAGAGTTTAGAGTTTAGAGTTTAGAGTTTAGAGTTCTACACCCGAACCCTGTAAGCAACCAAAACCTGCAAGCCCTGAACTGCAAACTTGATAAGCCCTAAACCCCAGACTGTGCAAGCCGTGAGCCCCAAACCCTGCAAGACCCACATTTCCACCCTACGACCCCTTATATAACCCTAAATCCGAGTTCTGGGGTCCGCCACAGCGTTGAAGCCTGAATCTTAAGCCCACATTTGAGGGTTGAAAAGTTTTTTCCATGTGCTTTAAATCGAGTTGATTCGATGGGGCTCGTATAGTTATATATATATATGTATGAGTTTGTGGGGAGTGGGGTCCCTGAGTCCCTGACCCCCCTAATCCTCCTGCGGGGCAAGGCGCACGCAGCGGGGACGCTGGGTCGTGAAAGCCATAGGCCAGGGTCTGCTTCTTCCAGGAAACCGCCACGATCTCGCCGGCCGGGATGCTGGGCGCAGCGATGTCATCGATGCTTTTAGGGTTTAGGGTTTAGGGTTTAGGGTTTCGGGTTTCGGGTTTCGGGTTTGGGGTTTAGGGGACACGCGACCCAAAACACCAGGGCAATTAGGGCTTCTTAGTGCGAAAGGGCTTTTTAGTGCTTCGTAGGGCTTATTCCGGCTGAGTAGGGCTTAGTGTTCAGAAGCCCGTGCTTCGTAACTTGCCCAAGAAGACCCTGGGAAGCTAATCACAGGCTTCATTTAGGGTCTCAAGGCCTTAGGGTCTATAGGGCTTGTAGGTTTTTTGTTTTTTTTTTGGGGGGGGGTTTTCATCGGGTTTCTGTAGGGTTTCTCTACTCACAACAGTCTAGTAGGGGCGCAGCTCCCAACTCCAGCTTTTGCGAAAGGCCAGGGCTTCTTCCAGGCTCGAGGAGGGTTTACGGTGTAAGGTTTATGGTTTAAGGTTTAGGGTTTCGGGATTTTAAGGTTCCAAACCAATGATTTTGCTAAACCCTAAATCCTAAACCCTAAAGCCCTAAAGCCTAAACCCTAAACCGCCTTCTAGCTGAAATCAAGTCTCTCCGGCTGGTTGCGAAGCGCCCGGTCGAAAAGCCAGGGATGCTTCTGCTTGGACACAGACTTCCGCAAGTCCTCACCCACACCCACAGAGCCCTAAAACCCTAAACCCTAAACCCTAAACCCTAAACCCGAAGTCACCGAAGTCATTGGCCTTCACCAGCCAGAGCCGCGGCGGCAGAGATCCGCAAGGGCCGGGCGCACAGGCCAACGCCAAGGCCACGGCCTGATAGGTCCATAAAAGCAAGGCGAAGAATAGTATAGGGTTTAGGGTTTAGGGTTTAGGGTTTAGGGTTTAGGGTTTAGGGTTTAGGGTTTAGGGTTTAGGGTTTAGGGTACAATAATGATCATAGTACCATGACATGGAAGGGCTCTCCAATCAGGACGGGTCGGGCTTAGTTTCGGGAGAGGTGGCGGCGGCTCCTCGGAGCCTAGACCCTCGGTACACGGGTGCAACGGAACCAGCGTTTCACCTACAGTAGAAGTACTGTAGCCTGATGGAGTCACTCACATGATCGCCCTAAACCCTCTAAACCCTGTAAACCCTGTAAACCCTGTAAACCCTGTAAACCCTGTAAACCCTGTAAACCCTGTAAACCCAGTAAACCCTCTAAACCCTCTAAACCCTCTAAACCCTCCAAACCCTCCAAACCCTCCAAACCCTCTAAACCCTCTAAACCCTCTGTATGTAGGACCTTTAGGGTCTATGTGAGTATTCTCTTTCGGGTAGCAGTAGTAGTAGTAATTGCAGTACTAATAGTAGCAGTAGTACTACTTTACTAGTACTAGTGCTAGTAGTACTAGTACTAGTACTGGTACTGGAACTAGTACGCGTACTAGTACTAGTAGTACTACTAGTACTACTAGTAGTACTAGTACTACTAGTACTAGTACTACTATTACTAGTACTAGGGCTCTGGTTGAAATGGAAAAGCCTTTTCCATTCCAACCATTTTTTCCCATTTTGAAATGGTAAAAATGGTTGAAATGGAAAATCCTTTTCCATTTCAACCATTTTTTCCCATTTTGAAATGGCAAAAAAAGGTTGAAATGGAAAATCGGGCCTGGGGGGAAAAGCCCCAAGCAATTGAAATGGTTGAAATGGTTGAAATGGTTGAAATGGAAAAGGCTTTTCCATTTCAACAATTTTTTCCCATTTTGGAATGGAAAAAATGGTTGAAATGGAAAAGCCTTTTCCATTTCAACCATTTTTTCCATTTCAAAATGGCAAAAATGGTTGAAATGGAAAATCGGGCCTGGGGGGAAAAGCCCCAAGCAATTGAAATGGTTGAAATGGTTGAAATGGTTGAAATGGTTGAAATGGAAAAGGCTTTTCCATTTCAACCATTTTTTCCCATTTTGAAATGGAAAAAATGGTTGAAATGGAAAAGCCTTTTCCATTTCAACCATGTTTTTCCATTTCAAAATGGCAAAAAACGGTTGACATGGAAAATCGGGCCTGGGGGGGAAAGCCCCAAGCAATTGAAATGGTTGAAATGGGTGAAATGGAAAAGCCTTTTCCATTTCAACCATTTTTTTACCATTTTTAAATGGGAGAAACTGGTTGAAATGGAAACAAAATGGGGAAAATGCTAAAAATGGAAAAGGCTTTTCCATTTCAACCATTTTTTCCGTTTCAAAATGGGAAAAAATGGTTGAAATGGAAAAGCCTTTTCCATTTCAACCATTTCAACCATTTCAACCATTTCAACCATTTCAATTGCTTGGGGCTTTTCCCCCCAGGCCCGATTTTCCATTTCAACCATTTTTTGCCATTTTGAAATGGAAAAAATGGTTGAAATGGAAAAGGCTTTTCCATTTCAACCATTTTTTTCCATTTCAAAATGGGAAAAATGGTTGAAATGGAAAAGCCTTTTCCATTTCAACCATTTCAACCATTTCAACCATTTCAACCATTTCAATTGCTTGGGGCTTTTCCCCCCAGGCCCGATTTTCC